GACTGGCCCCGCCGCGCCGCTGGTCTCACCCGAGGCCAGCGCCCGGGTTGGCCCCTGTCGGGCGCCCCCGCGCCCGAAACCATTAGCGCCCGAGTACCCGTTAGGCCCCATGGCCCTATGACACATGGGCCCCGCCCCAGAATGAAAATTAAAAAAAGGAAATAAAAAAATAAAAATAAATAAATAGATAATAATAATTAAATTAATTAATTAATTAACGAATTAATTAAGTTAATTAATCACAATTAGATTAACCTAATTAACTGTTAGTTAATTAATCAAGCAATGACAGTGGGGCCCACCCCCTAATTAATTATGATTAGTTTAATCGATCTGTTAATTAAAATGTGTCACTGACCAGTGGGGCCCACTGGTCAGGTTGACCAGTCAACTCTGTTGACTACTGACATCAGCATGACATCATGCTGATGTCATTAATCTATTTTCTCGAATTAATTTAAATAATTAATTAAATTCCAGAAATTAATAAAATCTTTAGAAAATCATATCTTTTAATCCGTAACTCGGATTAAAATATTTTCAACATCAAAGTTGCTCAGAGCGACGAGACGAATCCGGATACGCAGTCCGTTCGTCCGCCACACACCCCTAACCTATCGAACCCGCAACTTTCCCCCTCCGGCTCCTCTGCCCAAAAACACGAAACACCGGGGATATTTTCCTGGATGTTTCCCCCTTAACCGGTACCACCTCATACCACGCTAGGGCACGCCTAGCATCGTTACTTGTCTTGTCATGCATCGATATGCATCTGTTTACATGGTATTCATTGTTTCTTCCCCCTCTTCTCTCCGGTAGACTACGAGACCGACGCTGCTGCTGCCCAGTTCGACTACGGAGTTGACGACTCCTCTCTCTTGCCAGAGCAACCAGGCAAGCCCCCCCTTTGATCACCAGATATCGCCTACTCTTCTCTATACTGCTTGCATTAGAGTAGTGTAGCATGTTACTGCTTTCAGTTAATCCTATACTGCTGCATAGCCTGTCCTTGCTACTACTGTTGTTACCTTTACCTGCTATCCTACTGCTTAGTATAGGATGCTAGTGTTCCATCAGTGGCCCTACACTCTTGTCCGTCTGCCATGCTATACTACTGGGCTGTGATCACTTCGGGAGGTGATCACGGGCATATACTATATACTTTACACTATTACATTACCTGTGATACTGTTCGGAGATGGGGGCTGAAAGGACAGGTGGCTCCATCCCGGTAGAGGTGGGCCTGGGTTCCCGACGGCCCCCAACTGTTACTTTGTGGCGGAGCGACAGGGCAGGTTGAGACCGCCTAGGAGAGAGGTGGGCCTGGCCCTGTTCGACGTTCGCGGATATTTAACACGCTTAACGAGATCTTGGTATTTGATCTGAGTTGGCTACGAGCCTATACGGACTAACCAACTACGTGGGAAAGATATGGGCACTCGGCGTCGTGGTATCAGCCGAAGCACTTCGTGACGTCAGCGACTGAGTGGCGCGCGCCGAATTGGACTGGAACGCCACTAGGCTAGGTCTACTTTCGGCCGCCCTCGCAACGTGTAGGTGTGTTCAGGGTGATGGGCCCAGACCCCTGGGCGCCTAGGTTTAGACCGGCGTGCTGACCTCTCCGTTGAGCCTAGGTGGGGCTGCGACGTGTTGATCTTCCGCGGCCGGGCATGACCCAGGAAAGTGTGTCCGGCCAAATGGGATCAAGCGTGTTGGGTAAGTTGGTGCACCCCTGCAGGGAAGTTTAATCTATTCGAATAGCCGTGATCTTCGGTAACAGGACGACTTGGAGTTGTACCTTGACCTTATGACAACTAGAACCGGATACTTAATAAAACACACCCTTCCAAGTTCCACAAACAACCCGGTGATCGCTTTTCCACAGGGCGACGAGGGGAGGATCGCCGGGTAGGATTATGCTATGCGATGCTACTGGAGATGCTACTTGGAGATGCTACTTGGAGATGCTGCTTGGAGATGCTACTTGGAGGACTTCAATCTACTCTCTTCTACATGCTGCAAGACGGAGGCTGCCAGAAGCGTAGTCTTCGACAGGATTAGCTATCCCCCCTCTTATTCTGACATTCTGCAGTTCAGTCCACTGATATGGCCCTTTACACATATACCCATGCATATGTAGTTTAGCTCCTTGCTTGCGAGTACTTTGGATGAGTACTCACGGTTGTTTTTCTCCCTCTTTTCCCCCTTTCCCTTCTACCTGGTTGTCGCAACCAGATGCTGGAGCCCTGGAGCCAGACGTCACCGTCGACGACGACTACTACACTGGAGGTGCCTACTACTACGTGCAGGCCGCTGACGACGACCAGGAGTAGTTAGGAGGATCCCAGGCAGGAGGCCCGCGCCTCTTTCGATCTGTATCCCAGTTTGTGCTAGCCTTCTTAAGGCAAACTTGTTTAACTTATGTCTGTACTCAGATATTGTTGCTTCCGCTGACTCGTCTATGATCGAGCACTTGTATTCGAGCCCTCGAGGCCCCTGGCTTGTATTATGATGCTTGTATGACTTATTTATGTTTTAGAGTTGTGTTGTGATATCTTCCCGTGAGTCCCTGATCTTGATCGTACATATTTGCGTGCATGATTAGTGTACGATTAAATCGGGGGCGTCACAAAAGCCTCCTCCAGGAGCATCTGCAGGCGGAGGAGCAGGTCGTCACCGGCAGGGCAGTCATGCCGGACATGGGCCTGGCGGAGCAGGAGGCGCTGCTCGAGTCCTACCACTCCGCCCACGAGATCTACCTTGCCCGTTGCCGGTACCGGCAGCGGGTGACGGACGTGTTGGCCGCCGGCAAGGAGCGGGAGGACGACGAGGGCGAGGCATTGTTCAGCGACGAGGAGACCGTGCCCAACGCGACGGCCACGAAGAAGTCGGCACGTCCGCGGGCAGCGGGCAAGAGTAGTGTACGGTAGGTCGTTGCCGCTCGGGTCCCAAGAAGGCCACCGCTCCTCCCTTCCCGTCGACGCCAAGCTTGGTAGGCTCAGCATCGACGCCCAATTAGTCGCTTGGCGGCGACGTCGAGGCGGACAACTTCACTTCCCTGGGCTCCGGAGGCGGAGGTCACGGAAGCAGAGCTGGAAAAAGCCAAAACTTGCGTTTTCTTGGTTCAAGGCCGGAGACGGGGACCGGACGACGCTGGCGATCATTTAGCCCGCCTAGGACCGCTTTCATTTATTTGTAATGAAATCCGTCATGTTTACATGAAATCCGTCGTGTTTATATAAAATCCGGCCGTGTTTGCACGAGTTCCGTCCAGTTAGTTTGAATTAATGTGAAAATATATACGGCTAGCGTTGAATGACTGTCTCTCGCATCCGTGTCCCCGGACTGGTCCGTGTTCATGACCGGATGTGGTATGTTTTTTTGCGGGTTGCGATCGGAGATGGCCTTATTGACAGACAACCCAATTTTTACCCCACCCAGAGGTAGAAAGAAGGCGCGCTTCCTGGGCAACCAAGCACGCTCGAGGCAACTTCCAGGTAGCAAGCGCGGATAAACAAATCATACTGTAGATCATACTGTAGATCACGTTCGCACACTCACACGCAACGGCATGGAGATCGATCTCGGGAATCCTCATGGATATGCTCCGCTTCAATCCAAGCAGCCAGTAGCCAGCCAGATGCTCAACCCGCTGGCCATATAATTAGCAAGCTCCCATCACTGTACCAGCGGTAGCGTCCCACATCATCAGCCACTTCTTTAGCGGATTGATTAGCCATTTTCTGGGGTCAGAGGGGGAAGTGAGCGGGGTATATCAGCCGCATATGCTCTCCGCAACCTCGCGTTGACTCCATGGATCCCAGCATATTCTTCGCCTCCGGCTGATTTTCTATTGCCCCATCCTCACAAAAATGGTTTCTTTGCCTCATCGGAGCCACCACTAGGTGCTCAGCCCATTTTCTTACCAGTTCCGTCCGTTTCGCCGACCCTGCTCCGGCGCAAGCGACACGCACCTGCGGCGCTCAGGCTTCGATTGGTTGGTTGGTGATCTCGGCTTGACCGCGCGGCGCAGCCAGTATAAAGGGCGGGGTCACCGGAGAGGGAAGAGAGGGAGAGGAGGCGGATCCATCGGTCGTGCGGTCGGCCATGGAGATCCTGAGCCCGTCGCCGCCGCCCAGCCCGGCGAGGAACCAGTTCGTCTACGGCGGCGCCGGCGCGCTCCTGCGCCGCGACCAGGCCGGCGCCGGCGCGCTGCTCCACGTCGCCGTCGGGAGGTCGCCGGAGAAGACGCTGCCGCTGCTGCGCTGGGCGTTCCGCCGCTTCGCCTGCGCGCGCGTCGCCCTCGTCCACGTCCACCAGCCCTCCCCGGTCATCCCCACCCTCCGTACGCCCCCCCAATCCCAATCCCAACCCTTTCCCTTTCCTTTCTTGCACGAATGAGATCTCCTGACAGCAATTCACACTCCAGTGGGGAAGATTCCGGCGGCTCAGGCGACGGAGGAGCTGGTGCTGTCGCACCGCAGGTCCGAGAGGGACGAGAGGAACCGGATCCTCCTCGCCTACCTCGCCTTCTGTCAAAGGGCGCAGGTACCTCTCCATTTCCCTGTCAAAACCTGCTCTTCCCTTTTACTACAGATTATCATTACTACTACAGTTTTCAGCAAGTAGTAGTAGTAGTAGTAGTAGTACAGATCAATTAGCTGACCAAGCTGACTATTTCCTTTGGCCACAGGTGCAGGCAACTGTTCTTGTAACAGAGAACGAACAGATCAACGACGGCATCGTCGCCTTGGTCAGGGATCATGGGGTCACAAAGCTTGTCATGGGTTCTATACCGGATAAGTAAGCACCGCTCCGACTGTCGTCAACTACGATTTAAACACGACATGATCTTCTTGCCTGTGCTACGAAAGGAATTGCGTACTGTTGAAACATGTTATCACTAAGTGGGTTACATGATGAGAAAATAAAAGAATGTGTATTCTGCCAACCTGCCTCCCTGCCTCGGAGTCTTGACCATGTTCAGTTAACCATGAAAAGGCACCAATAAAACTAGAATAGGCGCAAATCAACACACGCCTAGTTAAGTCCTCTCATATACTACTCTGTTTTGCAAACACATCAAACACAAGTTCCTGGTCAGATGTAAGATGCTTCATTGTTCACTAAACAATGAAGAATAGCATCCATATGTCTGTTGTTATTGTTGTCTTGGGGTGTTCTTCATAAAAAATGTGAACAGCAACCATTATCCAGTTGCTGAGTTTGTGGAGATGTAGTTTTTCCGGTGGTCTCCTTTTGCATTTTCCTAACTTCAATGCTCTCTATCCATGAATGTAGTTGCTTCAAGTTAAAGGCAGGCCACAACAAGGAATATTTTATGGCAAAGAACGCTCCAGCATTTTGTGAAATTTGGTTTGTATGGAGAGGAAGACACATCTGGACCAGAGAAGCAAGCGCAGCGATTGGCAACAGCATCTCAATCTACAACCAAGATGATACTATGATGACCAGAAAGAGGACTAGGTTCAGCCCAAATAGCAACGACGCTGAACCCGTGCTTGCTGAAGGCACTGAATCAGATAATGGTCGAGTGAACCATTATGGAGCTCTTGGAGCTGATGCCAGCCGTTTCTACAATATGAGAATATCAAATTTACATGATGCAGAATCTGCATTCAACTCAACCCTCTGGCCTGATTCCTCCGTACTTGAGGGAGCATTGCAGTTACATTCTAAGGTGGCCCTTCTGCTTCATTTCTATTTTACTAGTTTTGTACTTGGAGTTGATCTTACTGTGTTAAAACTTAAAGTTAATGATATCTATCAGGAAATGTTGGATGCAAATCTCAAGCAAGTCATGGTTGAAGCTGAGGGATCTAGGAAGGAAGCTTTTCTTGAGCTTCTCAGGCGCAAAGAAATAGAGTCAAAAGTGGCCAGTGCTTTTGTCAGGGTATGCAGCCACCTATTGTCACCATTTTACATAAACCGTCTTTTTTCACTAAATTGCTCCATTCCTTTTACTGTGCAACTCCTAACATCCCATTTTTGAATACTGTGAAGGAAACCATGCATTTATTTCTTTGCTTACCTGGCTTCTGCTCTTTTATCAGGTAAAAGCTTCTGAGTCTTCTAAAAAACGAGAAATGAAAATAAGGGAGGAACTTGAAGGTTTATTTGTAGCCGCAAGAAAGCAGCATGAAGATCTGGCAAGAAGTAAAGAAAAAGCTACAGCTGTGTTGGACTCTTCTATGAGAAGATTAGACATCCTAGATGCTCGTGCTAAAAACATGAGCCTTCGGATGGATGAAGTTGTGGCGGAGCTCGAGGTGATTCAATCTTCCATAAATATTCTCAAGCAGGAAAGATCAAAGGCTCATAAGAAAGAAGATAGACATACCAACCATGTCAAAGAAGGGTGCACATACAGCCATTCCAAGTTGCCGAACTGCAGTTCAATTGCTCTTGGTGATGATCCATACACCTATAGACAATTGACACTGTTAGATGTGCAAGCTGCAACATGTAAATTCTCAGAGAGCTTCAAATTACGTCCAAGAGGTCATGGGTGCATTTACAAAGGAAAAAATATGAACAGGAGTGTGATGATTCATAGGTTGCACTCAGATAGCAAGAGCTCGATGCAATTCCAGCGGAAGGTACTCCCTTTACCCTGCTTCTTACGCTGTTATATTTGATGCTGTGCATTAGTGATTAATCAATTATTGAACATGGCATCATGAAATTTGAAAGTCAAAAGGCAGTGATATTCATGAACTGGAACTATACGTGTCTTGATGAATAATCTAAGGATGCATTTTCTCTAGATTTATCCAGAACTTTGTAGTTTTAGGTTGCGTTTTCCCTAGAATTTATCCAGATTTTGTAGTTCCATGTCTGTCGTCATATGAACTGAAACAGACCAACAACTAAATCTGTGAATATATATAACTTTCTCCTTGGAACATAATCAAGCTTGAAGTACTGTGGACGCTAAGCAATACGTTTGGTCTACTTTGCTTGAGCCATTTACTTAGTCTGCTGTATATATGTTCTGCTTGTGAGTTGTGATGGCTAATATAGTAAGGAAATTCCTTTTAAAGTGACCTTTAGTTTCAAATTCTCTTCAATGGTTGTATAAACAAGGTCTGTGTAGCACTAACTATTATTTATCTGACGGAATTTTTTTCATTTTTGTATTGCAGGTGTACATCCTAAACAAAGTGAGGCACCCTCATCTAGTGACATTGGTTGGGGTATGCCCAGAGGCACTCTGTCTTGCCTATGAATATCCGAAAAATGGGAGCCTTCATGACCATCTCTTTGGCGAACTCAACAGTGCCCCACCGTTGCCATGGAAAATCCGTGCACGCATTGTGGCGGAGATCTCGAGTGCCCTGCTGTTCCTGCATTCATGTAAACCACAAGTGATGGTTCATGGTGGCCTGAATCTCGAGAACGTCCTTCTAGATTCCGACTTCCACTGCAAGATAGCCGATTTCGGTACATTGACAGAGGAAGACTCGAAGGATCATCCAGCGTTGGATTCTAGACTGCTGGCACATAAGTCTGATATCAACTCCTTTGGTACCGTGATAATGCAGCTACTAACTGGTAAACAGGCTGGTAGTCCAGGCCTTGCTAGCGAAGTAAGGCGCGCTCTGTCCTGCGGAAAGCTGTCGTCGATCTTGGATCCAATGGCTGGGGAGTGGCCAATGGAGGCGGCCCGGCGGCTGGCGGAATTTGGGCTCGAGTGCATTGGAGATAGACCGGAGCTGACTCCGGACACGGTACGAGAACTGGAGCAGCTGCATCTGATCAGGGGGCGGCAAGTACCGTCCTTCTTCCTGTGCCCAATTCTCAAGCAAACCATGGATGATCCTCAGGTGGCCGCGGACGGGGTGACGTACGAGGGGCGCGCTATTCGTGAGTGGATCGAGGATGGCCGGGCCGTGGCCGACCTGAAGCTGAAGCACCTCGACCTCACCCCCAACCACGCCCTCCGGTTCGCCATTCAGGACTGGCTCTCTCAGCCTCAATGGTGAATGATGATGATGATTCTCCAGCTGCTGTTTTCAGCTTGCAACTAGCTAGTAGATATGTAGAGCCCTCCTGTGTACATACATGCTTCTGCTACTTCTGTACAGCAGTGTACTACTAGCTTAGTGTAGGCCAGTGCAGTGAATGGAATTTTTGTTTTTGTTCAATTTTTTTTTGTGTACGAATCATTATTTTTCTCTGTTCATTGGTGGTATTTCTGTGTCGTCTGACTATTATTTTGTTTTGATTTTTTGGATGCAAAATCGTTTTTTTCTCTTTCAGGATATCGAGGTTTCTTCCGTTAAACATGGCATGGCCAGCCCCCGCCTTTTTTTTTTGAAGGAATGGCCAGCCCCCGTCTGATACAGGGGAGAACCTGTTTTTTCTTTCTGGGTATTGTATTGGGCTGCTTAGGCTGAATATAAGGTACATGGGCCCGTCCTCTGTGCTGCACCGGGAGGACAAAAGCCCAGCTAGCCACCCACCCACCCGTTTCCCTTGTCGAATTTCGAATTGGACTGCTGCGAGCGAGCGAGACGAGACGGCAATCCCCAATCCCACTCCGCCATGGACGACCAGGACCTCGACGACGCGGC